GGTCCTCTTAGGAACGGAATATGCTTAAGGATCGCCGGAATATCTTTTATTATTTACTCAAGTATTTTCTCTCTCTATTACAAGATATCCTCCACTTCTCAAGTCCCTCTTTCTTTTATAGGCACTCCCCATCCATTATCCTCTTCAATAATGGCAGTGATTGGGGGAATATTCGTGCCAGCCTTACTCCTTCTAGGGGGGATGTATCTCAGCTTGAGGCCGTCCACTGGAGGACAAGCCTGTCTGTCCATCTCTTGCTCCCTCCTTCTGGGGGATGTACCTCAGCTTCAGGCCGTCCACTCGAGGACAAACCTGTCCGTCCATCTCTTGCTCCCTGTCCGTCCCTTTCTCCTCGTCCTTGTCCCTTCAATTAGGGGGGACTACTCTAGACTCTTCCATAGGATTCCTTTCCTTTTTGGGATAGCTTATTCTTAGTGGGCTGGGCTTCAGCCCATTCTTGAGCCCCCTATCCTTTTCCTTTTTCCTATCTTTCCTCACGGATAACTTCTTTTGACCGGCCCAATATATTTTCTCCGGACCGGACACTCCTTTTGATGGACGGGATCTAAATTGGGCCTGGGCCCAATTCGCTAGTATTCTCTCGATGGGCTTGGTTCCCATCACCAACCATGCATCATTATTTTATGCTTCATGTTGAATAAGCAATATAATTTTTATTTTATTAGTGATCAAGCTCATCATACTAGTGGATTATTTTATGAAAATGTGAGTGCTTTTGAAGTGAATATAGACACACATGTGTGTGTGTGCGCACACGCATATATATATATATATGTATAACATTTTAAAATAATAGATATGATGTCTCCTCCTAGTTTTTACAATAAATTGTAAGGACCATAGTTTTAAAAACCGGATCGGACCGGCTGGTTCGGACCGGGAACCGGTGAACCAAACACCAAACCGGTCCGGTCCGGGCATTCAGACCGCATTGTGCTGTGAACCGGTGGAAACCGGTTAAAACCAGAGAAAAACGGCCGGTTTTACCGCCGGATCCGGGTTTTCAATTCTTTTATGAAGATTTTTAAAAAACGCATGCTTGAGGTTCGAATATAGAACTGCAAGTGAGGATAGACTATGGAGCATCTCCAAACCATCTCTGCTACAATGCTTGTTGGGAACTCTCTAGAATTCGTTTTTTATATTCGTTATTCAAATTTTTTTATCAAATACTTTTTAAGTATATATAGTTTTTTTTACTAAAATTCAAAACCCATTGAGGTAATTGATATGGAGTGCACATCACATAAATATTTTATATATATTTTTAAATACTAGATAAAATGTTTAAAAAAACTCAAATCACTTTTTGCTTCTAAGATTTTTTAAATAAGTAAATTTTATTTTTTATTTAATGAAACAACTCAAGTAAATTCAGTTAAATTATAAATTTAGTCAAACATCAATTCTTTATTTATAAATAGAGGAAACATTATTTTATTAATCATATATTAGTTTTTTTAATTCAATGCCACAATATGTGTGTGTGTGTGTATATATATATATTTATATATTAATCTATTTATTAAACATGTTTGAACCACTGGTTCAATCACTCGAACCACTAATTTAACCAGTAAACCAGTGTCTTAACCGTTTCGATCACCGGTTCCGTTCTAAAAACTATAGTAAAGACGCCTTTTGTCCTTTTTAAAATATAAATATAAATATGTGCAAGTTATTTCAAAAAAACATGCGTTACTTCTACTACAGTTGAAGTCCAATTTCCAAATCTCCAAATTCACCACTGTGCGAGGTAACACCAATGGAAAACCCCACAATTCATCAGATCAAACAGAACCTTGTCCGCCATTGCAGAATGACTCGATCTCCATCACTCGCAAAACCCTAGACCCATTCTTCCCTCCATTTCAATGTCTCCCACATTAAAGCAAATCCTCTTCCTATCCTTCTTCCCCTGCTTCTTGCTCTACATCATATTCCTCCTCTCCCTCCGCCCCCGCGCCCAGTTCCGCCTGCCGCCCACCGTCCCTCCGCGCAACGGGCCGCCGCCCCGAATAGCCTACTTTGTCTCCGGCACCAACAACGACGGCTCCAGGATCTTCCGGCTGGTCCTGGCCGCGTACCATCCGAGGAACTACTACCTGCTCCATCTTGACCAGGCCGCGTCGGGGAGACAGAGGGACGAGCTCGCGCTGATGGTGGATTCCGTGCAGGTCTTTGCTGCCGCTGACAATGTCAAGGTCGTTGGGAAGGCTGACGCCGTCAATTGCGACGGATCTTCGCCTCTGGCATTGGTCCTTCACGGCGCTGCTGTTTTGCTCCGGTGGAGGAACGATTGGGATTGGTTCATTAACCTCGATGCATATGATTATCCTGTAATTCCTCAAGATGGTGAGTTTCTTCGTTCCTTTTTTCATGATTTATGCTGTTTCCACTTTCCTTTTTACTGAATAAGCATTATTCAAATGAACTTTTTAAGCCTGATTCAACCAACTTGCATATCTTAGCTGAACTCCTTAGCTAATGATTTCGGGTGTCTGGTCATCTCAATACCTGAATCACATTTAGCTAAATCCACTAATGAATCAAAGGAAGAAGTCGAGCTCGGATTATGTCCTCAGTATATATTTCACCGCAACCCCGAGAAAATACAAATTGTAACAAAAACAATGCAAGATTCATCATTCTGTCCATAGAAAATAATTCTTATGATTGAATTTTGAAGAACACGGAGTGATTGGTTACTCTATCTAGTTATACAGAGCGTAAATAGTGTTTATTAAACTGGAAAATATTTCCTTTCATTTCAAATGGAAAATTTGAACTTCGGGTTGCATTCGTGTAATTTTCATAGTCGTCCACTCTTTGTACTAAATTGGCATTGTAATTTTTCAGTTTTCATTCATGGCTCATTATACTTGTTTTTCAGATTTTCTCCATGCCATGTCTGTTATTCCAAGGAGTTACAACTTCATGGTGCATAGTACAAATGCCAGTTCACTAGAGTAAGCAACTCCGTCTTTAGAAATGATTTTGATCATATTCCCTGCCAGACCATCTGTTGAATTTTCTAATCTTATCACCTAAACATGTCTCAGTTCCCAAGTGATTATGGATATTATTGTTGATCCTCGCCTCTACCTTCTTACAAAGGGGAAAATGTTTACAGGCAACAAAAAACGTGAAGTGCCAGATGCTTTTAAAATACTTATGGGTAAGTGTCTAACCATGTTAATACCCCGTCAGCTTTACATATGTAACATTGGAAAGACTGCCAATGAGACCAAGAATATACATGGTTAGACATGATTCGTTCACCTGATTTCTATTTGATCATTGTTGCCTATAATTTTCTTTAATCCATTCTGCTTTGTTATGGTACTTCTGACAAGACAGGTGAATATTGGTGAATAAAATTTGGCAGAGCGTACCACCAGAATTTTATTTTTCCGGGTGAATTAACGCTCGTTTATTAGTAATGTTAAAACTCGAGCCATGCGTGATGCGTCCATTGCCAATGGAGCTAAAAGAGATGTTTTTTGACAATGCCTTAGCTTTGGGTAAATAATGGACTAAATCAAAATGGCACATACAATTTCCCTTGCTACTTACTTTCTATGAAGTTTCAGGCACTAAATCCATCAAAGGTGTAATGGAAACAACCCATCTTTTCTGTTAAGTTTTTGCTTATTAACGGCATGACAGATTATTTTCATTTTTGTAATTGAATCTTGCTTTGAAAATTTGCAGGCTCTCCACATGTAATTCTAAGCCGCAAGTTCATTGAATATGCAATCCAAGGATGGGAAAATCTGCCAAGAGTGCTCCTATTATACTTCTCAAACACCAGGGCTCCTCACAAAGGCTACTTCCAAACCCTCGCTTGCAACTCTAAAGATTTCTCAAGCACCCTCATAAACTCAAACATGCGTTCCACCGTTTTTGACAGTACTTATCAGATAGACCTCACAAAGTCCATAGTTTTAGATGTCAATGCAATGCAGGGAGTTGCTGCTTTTGTTGAGAATGTGTCCGGAGACAATAAGTTATTGGATGTGATTGATTCGCAAATACTTCAACGGAGCCAACGGATGGTCTCGCCCGGGGGATGGTGCTTGGGATGGTCAGACTGGGGCCGGGACCCGTGTCTCCAATGGGGCGACCCTCTAATTCTCAGACCGGGGCCCGCTGCTGAAAGATTCGAGAAACATCTTCTGAATTTGATTGGGAATGAGACAATCGGGTCAAGCAGATGTGATCAATAGCCGATCTCCAATTCGCCATCATACCTCTGGGTTTGGCGTCTCTTCCATTTTTGTTTACTGGCTATGATTGATCTACCGGAGAACACAATTTTTTTCTTGTGGGTTGTGAGTTGTGACACACAAGTGGCATGGCAAGTGTATCATGGAAATTGTAGATAAACCATACTAGAATGTAGTAGTCAAACATTTAACAAACATGGTGTATTCTATTTCACCACACCTAGTGTTGCATTTCCCCATATTCAATCTTATTGTATGAGGGCAAGACCGAGAAACGGCATAGTTTCGAATCAAAGTCATGGAATGACTCCGGTTCCTATCGTGCTCTGTTCAAAAGATTGACGATTCCTACCCTTCTAAGCACTTTATAAACCCCTTACCCCGGCTTGACTCGAACCCACCCCTTTCAATTGCACTCCCAAATTTCATTTCATATTACAAGGATTTGGAGAAAGGGAATTCGGAGAAGAAAGAAATGATGGTGGCGTGAAATGATAAGAAGAGTTGGAGGGAACTAAAAAGTAAAACATATGATATACTCCTTCCGTCTCTAAATAAACTTCTCTTTTCGTTTTTTCTTTGTCCCCAAATAAACTTTTCTTTTCCCTTAAAAAACCCCTTTTATCCATTACTTTTTCATACCCTACCTATCACATCATACATTTTTTATTAATAATCTACATATCACATCTTACTTTATACATCACATCAAGGGTATTTTTGGAAAGTCAACACAAAAATATCTCTCCCTTAAATCCTCAAAAAGTCAAAAAAGAAAGTTTATTTAGGGACGGAGGGAGTACTAGAAAGTGAAAAGGATTTTGTTTTATAAAATGTTGTCATGGACAATAAATTAAATAAAGTGTTGTTGACACCATAAGTTTTCCTATTGAATGAAATTAATTAATTTAAGTATGAGTATATGATCACTCGGGCTACATAAATTTCATGCGTATAATTTATTCATTCCAATATTCCATAAAGTTTGTTTAAGAAAAATTACTTTTTTTAACATTAATACTCCATATCACTTCTACAATGTACTCCCCCGTTCTAAATTAAATGTCATGTTTTTACTATTCACATGGTCAAGCTTTATTTATTTTTTTCTCTATTTTCATTAGTTATTTGATAAAATAATATAATCATATCATCACTGGTTTTGTAAATATTTTAATATAGTTTTTAATCATGTAATTTTTAGATTGTAATTCTACACCGTTTTTTATATAAAATGATTTGAAATGAATTTTAGTCAAACATCGTAAACTGAAATATGTAATTCAAATTGGAAAAGATGAAGTAATATTTATTTGTACATTTTCAATTTATTAAAATACCTAAATTTATTGCCTCCACTGAGTCTCGAATCAACGACCTCTTATTTAAAAGAATCACCATGATACCGTTGGCCCCTGTTTGGCATCAGCGTTAGAGATTAGCGTTAGCGTTTTGAAAAGGCTATCTGACAGTAGCCTTTAGCGTTAGCGTCTTCCGAATTAATCTACACCGTTAATATTTTATCCAAAACGCTAACGCTAATCGAAAACGCTCTTCCCAAACAAGGCCTAAGATCTCTGGCGACATAAAAAAAAAAACTTAATTTGGAGACAAATGGATTACAAAAATAATAGGCACATGACATCATGGAAAATCATTCCTTCAATAGTGCGTATTTTTGTGAAAGTTTCTTATTTGCATATCATCAGACTTTATATGCACAATTGTTTCCCTTTTGTCTTGTGCCACATGCTATATATAACATCAGAATCTCCCAATTTTTTTTTTTTTAACAATTTTAGCTTGACAATTGCTATGTTTGGCCTGAATTTCTAATTTTTAAGCATATCTAAAATTAGTAAGTACTCCATAATAATTATATAAAATTTATTATATAATATTTTTATGTTTTTATTATATACAATTTATTATATGTTTTTATTAGTAAGTACCAATTCTATGTAAGTACCAATTCTATATAAAATTTAGTAAGTACCAATTCTATGTTTTTATAATATAAAATTTATTTTCAATTTCACATCAATTTTCCAATATATTTTTATGAAAATAATGTTAATCAAGCATCGTAAACTGAAACAAAAAAAATAGTTTTGGACAGAGATAATAGTATCCTCTCCGTCCCAAAACTAAACTTTTACTTTTCAAATCAGTACATGTGTCCCTAACCTAAAGTCACACACTATCTCTTATTCAAACACACTCTTAATTACAATGTTCGGGTCTTGACCGTTTGATAAAATAAAATTTTCTTACTATTATTTATTTTGTAGAATTTTTGATTTAATTTTCAAATATAAAAACATATTTTTTTTAATTTTATACTCCGTACTAATTTGTAAATAAATTAAATTTAAAAAAATTAGGATTTATACATTTTCTTTTGAATTGTACTCCCTCCGTCCCACTCTTTTTGTCCACTTTCATTTTTGCACACTATCCAATGCACTTCTTTAATCCATTTTATCTTGTAATTTATATATTAAAAAATTATAAAAATTATATATTAATAATCTATATGTTAAGACAAATCAAACAAGATCACACATGACTATTTTTAGACTTACACATTGAGAGAATTTGATGAGTCAAAGTGTTTAGATGAACAGTTTCAAAAGTCAAAACTGGACAAAAAGAGTGGAACGGATGTAGGATGTAGTATAATCCAATTTAGTAGGAGTACCATAAATTACACTCGGACAAATGGTACAATAACTCTTCGTCTTTCGCCTTTAGCCTGTAGGCCATAGCAAATTCAGCAAGCACTTCCGGATACGCCACGGCTGTATAGAGCTTTCGAGTAGGGTTTCCGACTTTCATTCCGCCCGTAAAATGGTGGAGGCGGTTAGCAACGACGACGATCGAGGCGGCGGTTCCGAGGAGCACCTCCTTCTGCCGGAGACCGGGAGTACGGACTGCTCATGGAGGCTGAACTTCGACGGCTTCCAGTTGTCGCCGGATCACAAAGAGAAGCCTCCTCGCGGCCTCCATGATTGCCTCGGCGTTTTAAGTAAGAACTTTCTGCAACATTCATCTGATTCTATATTCCAAGCAATTGATATGTTATCTTCTTCGCATGTCTAGTTTCCAGATGCTCAACAGTGATTTGAACGTATTATATTCTGAGGACTGGCACATTTTATTCCTAATTCAAGTATTATATTCCGGTTTAAACTAAAGATGTTCGAGTTTTTGAAATGTTATTGGAATTGAATCAATTGTGTGGTTTTAAAGCGGCCATACTTTACAAAAAAAGGAAAAAAAAGCCTCCATACTTCCCACAAAAGAGGGAGAATCACTTTATTCTTGTTAACAAAACCGAAATGTAGAAACAAACAATTTGGATTTTCTAGTCAGGGTTTGTATTCCCCTTGCAAAGAAACTAGTTAACTCAATAGTGAATACAATCAGAATGATCACTTGAAATACACTCCGTCTGCAGTTAAATGCTTTTTGAGCACTTCTAAAGTAGTTGTTATAAATTCTTTCAATAGAAAAATGTTCAAACATGTAAAATATGTGTTAAATAGCCAAACAAAAAAAGATTGTCCATTTGATTGGTGCTAAAACATGCAATTTATAAAGGTGAAGATCTTGATGCACAAAGTTTGTATTTATGTCTTTGGAATATATTAAGAGAATTATTTCAGGGTTTTATTTGCTCAGTTCACTAGCTTTATTTGGACACATTAAATGCTCCTAATTGATCTGCACTTCATTTTTATTTTGATGCAAGCTTGTAACTTTGAGGCATTTTCTATTTTTTACCATCATCTTCGAACACATTAGTGGATTAATCATGGAAGTAGGTTCGTCAAATCTGTTCTGTGCCTGAGTATATTACCCAATGATGCGTCACAATATGAATCAATGCACTGGGTTTGTAGATGTATCCATACATACAGGATTATTTTGCATACTCTAATGATATAAGAAGCTTATTTGGGAATTCCTTCTCATGCATACTGCAGATTTGTTAATGTTCTGCTTGATGTATGCAGGAGAAGAAGATAATGTGGCAGAGTATTATCAGCAACAGGTAGAAATGCTCGAGGGATTTAATGAAATGGATGCCTTGGCAGCTCGAGGTTTTGTGCCAGGAATGTCGAAGGTCTATAGTAGCTATTTTCTCCTAAACATGAAATCACATCAAATTTTCCTCTCTTGCAAATCGTTAGAAGTTATATAATGAGGAACTATCCTAATATGAAAGTGACTGAAAAGTGAGAACCAACTGCTGAAATTAAATGCTGAATATCACAGGAAGAGAAGGAAAAGTTGGTTAAAAGTGAGACAACTGCTATAAGGATATCAAATGTTGCAAATATGGTTCTCTTTGCCGCTAAGGTTTATGCGTCTGTTCGGAGTGGGTCACTGGCCATCATAGCATCCACATTAGACTCTCTGCTTGATCTTCTCTCTGGTTTTATTTTGTGGTTTACAGCGTTTTCAATGCAGACACCAAACCCATATCAATATCCAATTGGAAAGAAACGTATGCAACCTTTGGTTAGTCTCTTTTCTACTTCTCTGAGTTCCGTGCTTGATTTCGCATATGGTCTCTTTGATATAGTAGTGGGCATATCCCCACCAGTTTTTAAGTTGCATCCCATATTTTATACAAAATACTCCTGTCATAGGCTTGTAAAATTATGTGGTTGAGGTTCATCTATAAATGAATTTCTCAACTCTCAATATCAACAACACAATTCTTTCCTTAAGAGGAAATTGGAAGATTCTTTTTGGACAACCCTAAAAAAGAAGTGGGATGAGTAAAGCAGGACAGAGAGAGAAAGTTGTATAATAGAAGTGCGTGTTTCAATGAAAATGTGCTCTTATGCAGGGAATCCTTGTTTTTGCTTCTGTGATGGCGACCTTAGGACTGCAGATAATTTTGGAATCTGTACGCAATCTTATGTCTGATGTAAGAGTTTATTCCTATTTCTTAATCATTTAGAGTCGTTATCTATGATCTAATCTTAAGTACCTTCAGTTAAATTTCTTTTTTCGGTTTTAAATGATTGGTATCTTCAAATTTTAAAGTTTTGACTTTTTGATGGCTTAGGCATATTGATTTCACCTATATTACTTCACAGGAAGGCGATTTCAACCTTACTAAAGAGCAGGAGCGTTGGGTTGTTGCAATCATGCTTTTTGTGACACTGGTCAAACTAGTTTTGGTCTTCTATTGTCGTTCCTTCACCAATGAAATCATTAAAGCATATGCCCAAGACCATTTCTTTGATGTTATCACTAACGTCATTGGCCTTGTTGCTGCATTACTTGCAAATTACATAGTTGATTGGATTGATCCTGTTGGAGCTATTATTGTAAGTTCTTTTCAACTGCACCCTTTTTTCGCCCCGCCCCCAATTTTCATATAATTTTTCTGGTGAGTGTAAATGTGGCTGACGTGACCGAGTTGCTGAAGTTGCAGTCATGGCTAAAGCTAAATTGTCAGAATGGTCTAAAAATGTATTTTCTGGGCACTAAGCATGAAGAGCAAATATTAAGAATTCTTTTTCTATCTGTCATTTCATTTCAAGTTAGCATTACCTTCATCCCAAAAATAGGAGTCGTGTTTGTAATACTAAAGCTTAGTATTACAAACAAAACTCTGATTCTGGTAGGGAAGGACTTCATTTCCATGCTTATTTCAAAGTCTTTTTGCTTCGTGTGGACATGATTATGCAGCTGGCTTTGTATACCATCCGGACGTGGTCAATGACCGTGCTGGAGAACGTGAACTCTCTGGTAGGCAAGTCAGCCACGCCGGAGTTTCTGCAGAAACTGACATACCTGTGCTGGAATCACCACAAGGCCATAAGGCACATCGACACCGTGAGGGCCTACACGTTCGGGTCCCACTACTTTGTCGAAGTGGACATAGTCTTGCCCGCAGACATGCCCTTGCAAGTGGCACACGATATCGGGGAATCCTTGCAGGAGAAGATTGAACTGCTGGAGGAGATCGAGCGTGCCTTTGTTCATCTTGATTATGAGTACAGCCACAAGCCCGAACACGCACAGGCGCATCTGTAGTTAAATACTCCGTATGTCACTATTCCTCATGTTCTTCTCTTGGGTTTTAGCTGTAATTAGGCATATGGTTCAGGAAATATGGCCGGGGTTGTATTGTTTGTCGGATCCAAGAATGACACCAAGGTTGACACAATGAACAACAATCACGCACAAACAATTTAAGACAATTGTTTGTGAGATACAATGGTGTCAATTTTTTGTGTCATCCTTGATGTGATGGTAGTAGCATTACCCTGTTTATTAATGGGCTTTGAATCACGGTTTGCAAACAGCTTAATCAAGCTTGATTTGTTATTTTGGCCAACATTTTTCTTTCACTTTTGTACCATAATTTTAATTACTTTTGCAAAGGTAAATGATATGGTGGTCCTAACGTTCATGCTATTTTAGGTGGATCTTCATATGGGATGGTAAGTAACTAGATATGGTATATTGGATATGAGTAATGCTAGAGTCACAAACAATTTGAACACAAACTTGCTATATGTGTATTTAATTAGATAACGTTCACACTATTTTATATGGACCTCTATATTATGATGGTAAGTAATTAGACATGGTATATCAATTAGATGAAATAATATTTTGAAAATATTTTATACAATAAATTTAATAAAAGTATTTTTATATTGATATCGATTACTTTTTGTGATTAAAATTTACTCCCTCTGCCCCAATTTATATTGCCTGTTTCGGCTTATGATGTTTGATTGAAATTATTATCAAATTATTTTATATGAAAAACGGTGTAGAACTAAAAAATAAAAATTATATATTAAAATATATTAAAAGATTTACGAAACAAGTGGTGACATGTTTATTTTATTTTATCAAATGACTACTGAAAAAAAGTGAATGAAGTTTGGTCCTGTGAGTAGTAGATAAGCAATTTAATTTGGGATAAAAGGTGTACTAATTTTTATCAAAAAAAGTTACTGTATACTTAGAGACGGAGGTAGTATCAAATACTACCTACTACTCCCTCCGTCCCTGAGTGTTTGTCCAGTTTCATTTTTGCACACCATCCAATGCACTTCTTTAATCCATTTTATCTTGTAATTTGTATATTAAAAAATTATAAAAATTATATATTAATAATCTATATGTTAAGACGAATCAAACAAGATTACACATGACTATTTTTAGGCCTACACTTTGAGAGAATTTGATGAGTCAAAGTGCTTAGATGAACAGTTCCAAAAGTCAAAAGTGGACAAACACACAGGGACGGACTAAGTATATCAAACGGAATAATTTGAGCAATACCATTTTATACAGGGCGGATCTATGCCTTAGGATAGGGGCAATGGCCCCCAACTAATTTTTGGGTTACAAGGTTGATTTTGGGAAATGACATTTGTACGTCAAAAATTGTATTCCATTGTGTACTTCGAAGTCATCCACCAACATTTTGTGCTAGTGTGATGCTTGTGTGCTAATTTACAATGACACAAATGTTAGTGTGATTTTTTTGATTGAATTAAAATATGCTAGTGTAAATCGTTAAAATGTTAGTGGATCACTTGAAGTACAATTTGGAAGTACATTTCTTGGTATACCTCTAGAATGGTTAGTTGGTTTTTTAATTTTTTACAGTCATGTATTATTTGACTCCAACTAAAATTGAAGGGACCCCAACTAAAGTGTGTTTCAATGCATATAATTAATATTTTATAAAATTAAATTTTAAACTTTCTATTCAAAAATTCACATTAAAAAATATTTGTATAAAATTTATAAATTTTTTTATTAATTTAAATTTCCTATTAAAAAAAACTTAGGCACTTCTCCTGAACCTCGACCTTTTGTGCCCCCAACTATTTGAAATCCTAGATTCGCCACTGATTTTATACGCACAATATACAGAATCAACTTGATAAGAATTAAGAAATACGGAGTATTATTAACAGGTTTATTTTGGTGTCGGGACAAAAATAAGCCTAATTTTTTTTGTATAAAGATAATGATGGATAAAGTTCTTTTTTGATTAATGATACTTTTTTAGGATAAAAATAAGTTTATAAATTGAATTCTTTTATTCCAATTTCTTTTGTATTTATTCTCAAATTTAAAGTGTTTATTAATCCGACAATAATATGCTTGCCCACTCTTTTCTCTTTGATTTTTTTCTTTTCTTTAAATGCATATATTCCCAATATACCGTACACTATATTCTCAGCCAATCCCAATTCCCCCATTTTCTTTGGCCGCAACCGCTTAACGACCGCCAGCCGACGACCAGTCCAGACGCGACTCCCGGCGGCTTGAATGCCGGAGTGCGGTGGCTGAATAAACTGCGACAAATGCGCCGGGAGATGGACCTCAGCGCTGGAGCTGCATACTCTTCCTCTTCTTCTCTTCCTCCTCATCCCGCTTCGTCTAGGTCGTCCTACGCCACCGCCTCCGCCTTGCGGATTTCCCGCCCCGTTAAGGTCATACCTCTGCAGCATCCGTCGATTGCGGCTTCTTCCAAGCCTTCGGTTTACGGGGATCTCGTGTCGAGGTGGACGGAGAAGGTGAGACGGATGACGTGGACGGAGTGGATTGAGCTGTCCTTACCCTGCTTTCGCTGGATTCGGAAGTACAGGTGGAGACAGGACTTGCAACCTGATCTCATTTCCGGCGTCACCGTCGGGGTCATGCTTGTGCCTCAGGTGTCCTTCTACATCTATTTTGATTTTGAAATTGTCTCGGTTTCGTATAACTTAACTGAATGAATATTGAAAACTGGAGCTGTTTATGTACAATTGAGATAATGAAATCAATGAATATAAGTTATTGATATAACCAAAATGGTGGTTCACTTTGTCTTTGTCGCTCAACTTCTGAAAACTGGTTGTGGCAAAGAAAGCAAGCATAAGAGTTCTATCTTAAATCAAGCTTTGAGGTATGATTAGTGTTGGGATATCTCCCTATTTACCAAATGTTAATTAGGTTGGAGTTTATTCTATTTTTGGATTGTAAATAGAAAATAAAATAAATAGTATAAAATGATGATGTGATGTGAATGTTGTTAGTTTGATACATATCTCATTTGAGTACTTGAGAGGAGTGTAGTAGTGAGAAAAGAAGAAAAAGAAAGAAAGTGGAGTGGGTGTGTGCATGTGATGTGTACGCAGGAGGAAGAAAAAAGAAAAAAGAGTGGGTCCTTTGTGTAGATTCATGATTAATGTTTTTGGTTGCTTGGCTTATAAAAACAACTTTTGGTAGTGTGAAGAAGTGCTCCCAAGCCCCTACGTAGAGAAGAAAGAGGAGAGAGAGGAAGAGGAGGAGGGGGAGCCAAAAAGAGTAGGAAGATGTATTTCTTATAGATAGGTGAACAGAGAGAAATAATATCAGTTGTTGTACTCAATTCATATTATAGTGAAAAGTGTAATCCGAGAGGATCGTGGTTTTCCTCTAGATAAGAGGGGTTTCCACTCAATAAATATTGTGTGTTGCTTCTCTTTAATTTTTTTCTGCACATTTTTGTTCATCCCATAGTCCCAGATCTTATCTGTTGAGAGAGTTGTGTTGTTTGAGGGTAATTTTTCCCAATAATCAGTGAGGGCATTTTAGAGTAATGGATTATTATAATAGTGTTTGTGACTTGTGAGAAGTTTTTGGTTCGGCATAAGAAAAAAATACCATTGTTGGGGTTGCTTTGAGCTGAAAGCCTACTGATCCAAGAACTTGAGAAAATGAAGATTGAAAGACCAAGTATATATGAGGAATCCTCACTAGTATTGCTACACTATAATATGTGCCCATGTTCAAACCTTTTGTGGGTGTGTTTTTTCTTCTGTGTTGTAGAAAACTTCATTCGTAATGCTCTGCCATAATAATGTGCTTCTAAAGTGCTCTCTCTATCATTTGGAATGTTTAACAATCACATCACTTTTGACTTTATTTATGTTGAATTTCTAATTATGCTGGTCATCTTAACAGTCAATGTCATATGCAAAGCTTGCTGGGCTTCAACCAATATATGGTCTTTGTAAGTATGCTGCAAATTTAAGTCTAGTTGCTGCTTTGTGATATAGTGAAGTTTTGTTTATGAATATATTTTCGCGTGAAAGGTTTGAAAATATTAATGGCTAGTGTGTGATTCTTGCTAAGAATATTGATTTTTTATAAACTGTGTTGCCACTTTTTGAAATTAACATATCCTCTTTTTGTCCCATATTTTAGTTTTCACTTTCTTTCTATGGACATATCAAAATAGAATTCCCATACGAATTGTGTAGTTCATATTATTTCTACGTTTTGCATTGATTTCAACCACATAATTTTACCTTTTCTTAAACTCCGTGAAAAGCAACAAATTAATGTTGGGACGGAGGGAGTAATACACAATGAAGTTTTCACATAATTCTGTTTACTGATTAACAATCTTGAAACTTTTGCAATTTAGTAAAAACTATGAAATATAATGTTCTGCTGTCCTCTATCTGTATTAGGGTCAGCATGATTGTTTAAGGGCCAAATTAGTTATGTATTTGTTTCCTTTCCTTGTATTTTTGTTTATAACTGTGGTTTTTTGTTTCTGGATTTTGTAAGTCAGATTCTGGTTTTGTCCCCATATTTGTTTATGCCATTTTTGGGTCGTCTCGCCAACTCGCAATTGGTCCAGTTGCGTTAACATCCTTGCTGGTGTCAAATGTCTTGAGTGGAATAACAGACCCATCAGACAAGTTATACACGGAACTTGCTATACTCTTAGCCCTCCTGGTTGGCATTCTAGAATGCATTATGGGGCTCTTGAGGTATTTTTTTTATTATAAAAAAAATAAGCACAGCATGTTTTATCTGACAAATGAGCAAATATACACTGTCGATTCTACTTCAAATAGACAATATGTTTGCTTATTGTTATGGTTCTTTGTTGTTAATGGGTACTATTAGAAATATTGATTGAAACCTTTTAGGTTCTTATTCTCAATCCAATTTATCAATTATCCCATTTTGCTTAAAACAGTGCAATATACAAATGCAGCTACTTAAGTTAAAAATTAATTGCTCAAGAGTCTTCCAATGTCTACGTTGCAATAAGAATTTGTGTGGGGATGTGGATTTGATATGCCACATATTTTCAGATGTTCAAAATTCCTTTATCTCACTTCATGTGTTGAAATCTTTTGATTCTTATATCAACGTAGGAATATTCCTTTTCCATTGCTGCTGATATTTCCAACTTATTTCCTGCCCGAATTCAGGCTTGGATGGCTTCTTCGTTTCATCAGTCACTCTGTCATTTCTGGTTTTACTACAGCCTCTGCTGTTGTTATTGCTTTGTCCCAAGCAAAATACTTCCTAGGCTATGATATAGAACGGAGCAGCAAAATTATTCCACTTATCAAGAGTATAATATCTGGAGCAGATAAGGTATGCCTAATTCCCAAAACACTCCATCTATAAGATACTGTGTTTATTTACTTCATATCTTTTGAAACTAATGTTGGTTGATCTTAGGCTGAAGCATACAAATTTTACCCTTCTTTTCTTATAATTACTTTCCTATGGATTTAATTGAAGGGAAATCACCAAACACCCTTTAAGAAAAAAGCTAAAACTATTAGCTCCCTATTGATGTAATTGGATAAGGCGATGTTTAAGGTAAGAAGTTGTAATGGCAATGATGTAACAACAAGAAGTGTTTTTCGTCTAGCACACTAATCCAGCCCATACAGGACCTATCATGATCTTTAACCTTCATATATCATGGTGCATTGTCTTATGTTATTTTTTACTAATGCACTGCTAAAAACATCTTCCTTGTGTACTAACTGCATTTTCTTTCCGTAGTTTTCCTGGCCACCTCTTGTGATGGGCTCACTTATGCTAGCTATTCTTCTTACCATGAAACACTTGGTATACTCCCATAGACCTTTTTCTTTTATTGATATATGTTTCTGCATATTTTATATTTATATATTTTTCTGCAGAATGCCATTTTTTCACATGCTTTCATTGCATTGCTCTGCAGGGGAAATCGAGAAAGAACTTGCGGTTTGTACAAGCTGCTGGTCCTCTTACGGCTCTTGTTCTGGGTACAATCTTTGTCAAAATATTTCACCCGACTTCAATTTCATTGGTGAGAGTGTAATTTAATTAGATAATCTTACTAATCCAAATAAAGGAGCACATTAAAGAATAATTTCCTATCTGTATGCACCTACGTCAGAGTATTGGAGTGCAGATGCATTGTCAAAAGTCAATGGCCTCTCTTTTTTTGTTGTCAAGATCCAAATTTCAAGAGGTGGATGGTTTAATTGATAGAATGGGACAGGATCTGAAGTGCCATGGAAGAATATAAAAAACCTAAAAATGTTTCTTCACTTGTTAGGGTTTGGCCGGTTACATTGAACTTGTCAATTATCTAAGACTTGTAATGTCATTGCATTGTTATTTTCAAGATTTTTCATTTCATCAAAGATTCAAAGACCGGTTGTTTTGTTGACTTTAGGCTTTTAAACTTTGAATCTGTGAAAACAAATCAGCAATCCGTCAATGTAGTGCTTCAAATGTTCTGTTCCTTGTTTTAGGTAGGAGCGATACCACAGGGGCTACCACAATTATCTGTTCCCAAAGCATTTGAACATATAAAGTTTTTGATTTCAACGACAATTCTTATTACTGGTGTTGCCATCTTGGTAAGCAAGATATAAGCATGTACATACATGTACTTATTCTGCCTCTCTTCTTAAGAACTGCAAACACTGTTAAATACTTTGTTACATTCTTGAATGTGTAGGAGTCTGTAGGCATTGCTAAAGCTTTGGCTGCAAAGAATGGGTATGATTTGGATTCAAATCAGGAGGTGTGTTTTCTTGGAAAAATGCAACCTACCTTATTTTTCTCAACAATTATTAGAGTTTTTATTGGACCTACATAAATATTTATCACTTCTCCTTTCTTTCATTATGCACATTTACTGTTTAGCATTTTAGGACATGTCCTATTTTTTGAGTAATTAACCTTCAACTGTTCAAATTGCTTATCCAACAAATTAATGTACTTTCTTATTCAACTGACCCCACCCCCACCCCTCACCCCCGAAAAGAAAAAACTGCCCTCATCATCATTCTTCTCAAATTACAATGTGTACCCGTGCGAGGAAAACAAGAATTGGCATGTCATGTACTCCCTCCGTTTCACCTACTCGAACCTCTCAAAAGCTTTTGTTTGTTTGTGTGTTTTCATTGATTATTTGGTAATATAAAATATTCTTGTCACCTATTGTTTTGTAGAACTTTTGACGTAGTTTTTTAACATGTAATTTTTATTTTTAAATTTCTATACCAATTTTTAAATACAACAATTTCCAAAGACGCTGGAAACTTGGATTTTGCCTCGCAACTCCCAATTTGTAATTGAAATTGGGAGTTGGGATGGAGGGAGTATATAGTTATCTTAATCCTACCTTCTTTTTTCATCCTTCGCGACTTAACCAAAAGTCAAAATAACTTATGTGACAGCTTTTTTATTATTACAGCTATTTGGTCTTGGCGTGGCCAACATTTGTGGCTCTTTCTTCTCGTCATACCCTACAACAGGTGAGATTTGTGTGTAAAATTCCCATACTTCAGCCAGAATTTTTTTATAGGATTATCTTTAGTTATTTAAAATGACCAAGAATATATTATATATGAAGCCTAATATTCTAGTTTCTTTTTGCATAATATGGAGTATGATTCACCATTTGATTCCTGAAGGAAGCTTCTTTTTCTTAATATTTTCTTAAGGCTCTTTTTCTAGGTCTGCTGTCAATCATGAAAGTGGAGCAAAAACAGGCTTATCTGGGTTCGTGATGGGAATTATCATGTGCTGTGCTCTTTTATTTTTGACTCCATTATTTGAATGCGTACCTCAGGTTGTGGTTTCTTGTTTAGTAATAATAATAATAATAATAATAATAATAATAATAATAATAATAATAATAATGATAATAATAACAATAATAACAACAACAACAACAACAACAACAATAATAGTAATAATTACTCGTATTACATATATATCTCACTGTAATGTGTTCAGAACAATCTAGGATTCTAGGACTCATAGATGTGCACCTCTTTTCAGGTTTTCTCACTGTCTGTAGACTTTCACAAATTTCTTCCTATACTTTCACATATATATGAAATGAATTATGAGCATTCGCTAATTGCTTTCAAATTTTTATTCTGCAGTGTACTCTAGCTGCTATTGTGATATCTGCTGTAATTGGGCTGGTAGGTAGAGCTTGCTTTAAGACAAAGAGTTATTTGCTATTCACGCTACTGAAGTTTCTCATTCTGGCTATTAATTGCAATCCAGGTAGATTACGATGAGGTTATATTTTTATGGCATGTTGACAAGAAAGATTTTCTCCTCTGGATAATCACTTGTGCTACAACTTTGTTCCTTGGTATAGAGATTGGCGTCCTTATTGGGGTTAGTGCATACATTATGTTGTGTGAGTTTAAAGCTTCTTTAATTAGATTTTTTAAATAATGGATTAAATTATCCCTTTTCCATGTTTGATAAAGTTATGATTTCTGGATTATACACACCTTTTTACTCATGTAGAATTGTAGAGTCATAGTCCCTAAGTTGGAGACGAGGAGTAGATCATTGATGTTTTCATCATCATCGCCTTAACCTCAAGTATGTTGAGGTCAACGACTTGATTTTAAAGTGTCAACTAATTCTCTAAAATTGTTTGATACAAATTCATGAAAAAAGCACAATCTCATAGTTTATGTCTTTCCTTTTATGATCTTCTTATAGAGGAACAAAATGTAATTTCAAAATCATCATCATAATAGGCTTTTTCCACTTCATCATTATGACATCAACTGTGGTTAATGATACCAAGCTGACCATTTCATTATTTACTCTCTTAATGGTGATTGAAGTCTCACTTTGATTGGTGCAGGTTGGTGTTTCACTTGCATTTGTTATCCACGAGTCAGCAAATCCACATATAGGTAGGCCGGCCCGCCTACGGAGACATTAAAAGAGCTTTTTCGACACGTATTAATTCTAATAATTGAACTCATTCTCAAGATAGATAAGATTGTCACGCTCAATGTAGGTATAAAAAAATTAATCGGGTACTCTCGGAATCTTGTCTACTCTTTAGAGTGGAGGTAAGGAATGTGTAGTACATCCTGCCTCCCCGAGACCTTGATGTTGTTTGGGATTTGCTGAATATGTTTGGTTTGGTTTGGTTTTCAAATAAGTATTACCTATCTTCACGCCTGACTAGTTTACTTCATTGCCATCGCTTGAGCACCCCTTCTGATCCCACTACTTGGATATCCTATACTTCTCAAAAAATTGAACTGTTTAATGTGAGATTTATTGTAGGTTTATGCCTTAACCTTTCAGTTGTTGCATAATTGACTGCTAAATTTCCTATGGTTCTGTTTGCTAGCTGTCCTGGGCCGTCTTCCCGGCACGACTGTGTATCGAAACATTCAACAATATCCTGAAGCATACACGTATAACGGGATTGTGGTTGTTCGAGTTGATGCTCCTATTTACTTTGCCAACATTAGTTACATCAAGGACAGGTGAGCACATTTCGTATTTGGCCATCTTTAACTTTCGTGCCCAGTAATGCAAATTACTGGACTTCTCTCTGGTTGTAAATGGGATAACCCAAACCATGTTTACTGTGCCAATTTGAAAGCTAGAAATACTTTGAGGTCCATAATGCCGCTTTCCATTATGCCATAACCAGGTTACGGGAATATGAGATTACAAACGATGGATCCTCACACCATGGGCCAGAAGTATCAAGAGTTTACTTTGTGATTGTTGAGATGGCCCGTAAGTTACCTAGCGATCTTTTTTTATGGATGTATAGAGGGTTTTGAGAGCTTTGTTTATGTCTTGATATATCTAGAAATGGTAAAAAGGTCCTGCCAATCTTTCAATTTTTTTAATAATAAAATGTCAAATATACACGAGGACATTATATACTCCGTAGTCTTCCAATGCCTTCCATTCCCAATCCTCCAAAACCTATCATGGTGTTTGGATGGATGAATTTAGAGTGGTGTTTCTAGTCTTTGTGGATTTTTGATTATGCTTATCCACATTTTTTTCTATTAATTTCAGCTGTTACGTATATAGACGCCAGTGCTGTTCAAGCTTTGAAAGACCTCTATCAAGAATACAAATCAAGGGACATTCAGGTCAAGAAAATGATTTAAAATTATCTTCCTTGTTACATTTTTTGTTTATTTACTGTCTCAACACATCTAGAACACAAACTCTTGCCTGCTCTTCTACTGCTACTAAATTGAATGATGTAGTCTTTGTTATATACATACTTCCTTCATCCCAAAAACAGTTGTCTTAAACAGTTTATATTCCAAAAAAGAGTTCCCTCGATCAAAAGAACATACTTTTTCATATAAATTTTCAAAAAATTATGGAGCAAGAATGACAAACCGAGTTACTTTTTCATGTTCTTTTTCCAAAATAAAATGGCAAACAAGGTTGATATGATAAACTTAGTTTAGAAAAATTTAAAACTTGTAGCTTAACAAAATAGAACCCCCCCCCCCCCCCCCCTCTCTCTCAAGGAAAAGGGGGAGTTTTTTCTCACATACCTTTGATTTGAAACTTTTGCAGCTAGCCATTTCCAATCCAAACCAAGAAGTTCTGCTAACTCTAGCTAAATCTGGCGTGGTTGATCTAATCGGCAAGGAGTGGTACTTCGTCAGAGTTCACGATGCCGTCCAAGTTTGTCTCCATCACGTACACAGCTTAAACGATTTCCCCAAGACACAAGAAGTATCATCATTAGAGAACACCACAAGTGCCTTCCAAAGGCTGCCGAAGCAGCGAAAAGAAGAATTCTCAATCCCCGAGCTTGAGTCAGGCGACCAAAGTCCTCTTGCATCCGGTTTTGCAGACCCTAAGCTAGAGCCGCTGCTCTCACAGAATTAAACCGGTACTCCTTGCCATTGTCTGCTCTCTCGTAGTAAGATTCTTATTCTTTTCTTGGTAAAAAAAATTATGGATAAAAAATAATCTGCACTTCACCTCACACAAAATGTATAGCTCCCGGAAAGACAACTAAAAATAGTGTCAAATTTTCACGGAAACTTTATATTGACACGGAGGGAATGCCTCTAAATGGTCATTTTTAGCTATACTCGTGGAAATATTCTGTTCAAGATTTCTACATGAGATGAAATAATCACTAGTCGGGGCACCACCTCGCACCTAATGCGACCCCACCCTCTTGCTTTAGCTGGTGAAATGATGCAGATTTCTTGCATTCTACCATGCAAAACTACAGGTACTTTTATTTGCATATTTTTGTCTTACACTTGTGTTGTGCATCCTGTATGCTTAGATTGGGTTTCGTTGAATTTATTTTGCCTTGTAAATAGGCTAGCTATGTGATTATATCATTATAATATGAAGCAACTCATTTTCTACTAAATGATATTTCTTGCTCGTGTAATGCCGAGGAATAATTCTAATCCATTCTCTATGTGAATCAATCTATTCTCTCTGTCCCACATTGTTTTTCTCATTTTTCTATTTGAGCTTTTGGAAGTAAATAATTTGTACTCTAATCTGGTACTAATAAATAAACTCATCTTCTTATTAGTGTCATCTTAAAATTTGTATTTTCTTCTTTCACATTAATGAATAAGAATGGGCTACTTGAGTGATGCTCGCTAGTTAAGCTTAATTCGCTGGACTCTGTAATCAAAGATTTTGGGTATCTCTCTTTTTATCTTTTTTATTATTGTGCTTTATGTACTCTTGTTAAGATTTTTTTCTTTTCACTTGTAGTATATTGTTCAATATTATTTGTTGGGTATTTTTTTGTTAGTGTTGTGTCTGGTTCACTTGTTCTGATATGTTGCATTTCATTTTGTTTTATTTTAGTGGAAAAGTTTCCTAATTTTTTTGGCAAGTGGTATCGGAGTTGAAAGTTTGTCCTTGGTTTGTTTGTACTTGTAATATTGAATACAATACATTGAGTTTCTAATGACAACTAAAGATCAAGGAATAAAACATGTTGATTCAAATGTTATGTCGAGGGCATCAGGCTCTTGGTCATAATGGTCGAAGTTCCTGTTTTCTACCATATTTCTATTGAGGAAAAGATTCTAGAAGAGGTTGAACATAGAGATCGGAGCATCATTAATTGGTTGATGTGTTGAACAATTTGATTGTGCCAACATAGAGAACAGAAGTATGCTTTCAAGCTCCTTATGAATTTCGATTTGATAACCAAGTCAGGTAGTACTGTGAATGAAAAGATCACTATGATAAATAATTTGCATATATGTTGAATTTAGATATGAATGTTGAGGACGAGGATCTGAATTTGATGTTATCATCCCTTCTCGATAAATTTGAACATTTGGAGACTACATCATGAGAAGTAGAACGTGTTTGTTTGTTCTGGTTTTTATAGTCATGAATTGAGAAGGTAGAATAAGATGCAAATCGAACCAACGACAATAGAAGAAAAAAAGGTTATAATACCCCAATCCCTATGGTCCCTCTAGTACTGGCTCGGATAATAAGTCTAGGAGAGTGGGATCTATAGAAGATGTATTGGTGGTAAGAGGTTGCATAGCTTTGATGTACATTAGTATATTGTGTAACTGTGAACTATCGAAATGTTAGTGCACAACTTTGATGTACATTTTGGGTACATTCCTTAATGTATCTCTAGCATGGTTGTAATATACTCCCTCCGTTTCATAAAACGGTTCCTATTTTGATTTTTAGGAGAAATACGGATTGTATATTTGTGCTTAACTTTCCAATTTTGTCATTGGTGTGATGGATAAAAGTAAAATGTGATAGATAAATTACTAGTGAAAAACTATGATGTGATAGATAAGGTAAGAAAAAGTAGGAGTAAAAATGAATTTTTAATATAAAGTGAAAGTTTTTAGAGAAAACAAAAAAAATGAAAGATGACGTGTTTTAATAAACGGATGTCGTAATTATTCTTGCAAGAATTGCAGCACACCCACACTGTTAGCGGATGAGGTTGTCACACGTTCATGAAGGTGTGCCTAGCTATTTCCATGTATCAATTTTGTGTCACGATATAATACTCCCTCCGTCCTAATTTAAGTTGTATGTTTACTACTTGCATCGCCAAAATTTAACCACGTTCTTAGTTCATTTTCGTGACCCATTTGAAAAAATAATATAGTCTTGTCACGTCATATTTTGTAGAATTTTTGATGTAGTTTTTAAATATACAAATTTTATTTTTTAAATCCTTACCAAATTTCAAATTATTTAAATTGAAAGTAACATCAGTCAAACAATCTCGTAAACAACATATCAGACGACTTTTTTTTGGAGGACGGAGGGGTATATATCATAGGAGAGCAACAACACATGGTAATCATTTAATATCCAACAGCGATGGATCGGATGTATGGATGTGGGACTTGAAGATAGCCATGCATAACCAACCAAAAGGTGGTGAACATGGAAATGGACTTTGGGTTTTTTCCTTTCATATTGGGAACTCATCAATTGGTTGTTTGGTTTGAGCCACATTATTAGTTATTGTAGTAGTACAATGATGAGCCAAATGATATGGTCCATATGGGACACTTGAAAATCTAAAGAGGAAATTAAAAGGGGGAACAACATTAGATTTGAAGTACAAGTTTCCATATATTCTCTCTTATTCGTCCCTAAATCATTACTCTTTACGCAAAATAAAGTAAAATTTTACTCCCTCCGTCCCAATTTAAATCGCCTGTTTTGACTTTTAGGCATATTTAAGGAAAATAAAAAATAAAGTTAATTTTTCGAAATTGTCATTACTTTTTAGAAGGGGTGATAATGAATGAAAAGATAAGGTGAAGAAGAGTGACTTATTTTAGGGGTTGTTTAGGTATTTTATTTTTAAAAGTTTACGAAAACAACTAACAGGCAACTTATTTTGGGACGGAGAAAAAAGGCAAACAAGCAATTTAAAATGGGACAGAGGGAGTAAGTTTTTTCAATTCATTTTATTTAAAGATTAGTATGTAAATTAAAAATAAAACTTATATATTTAAAAAGTACATCAAAATTAAAGTTCTACAAAACAAAGAGAGGACAAGAATCTTTAATTTTATCAAATAATCAATGAAAATAGATAAATAAACAAAAGTTCCTGTAATTTTTGAATAGTAAAATGTGTAAATCATTTTGGGATGGATGAAGTATTATTTTTGTGTCCCTGAATAATCTTCTTACTCCATATATTACATGAAAAATCATTTCAGTCAAATCTCATAATTTAAAATGATAGCATTATTTAAATTAGAGACGTACGGAGAGAGTAATTGGTCACCAAGTATACTCTAGTAAAATCACCCTTAATAGGACTAAAACATAGAGTTTATGCCCAAAATAGGACTTCTATGTTTTTATCCTCAAAATAGGACCAAACATTACAATTATACCCTTGTTGCCCTTGCCCTCTCTTCTGTGTTAACTGCCGCCCTCCATCTCCTTTCTCATTGTTTTGTTTTCGTCCCTCATTTTTTTTGTTTTTCCCTCTCTTCTTTTTTTTGTTTTCTTTGTGTTTTTTTCTTTCGTTCCTTTTTTTGTTTTTGTTTTCTTTCTCTCTCCTTCCTCTTCTTTTGCATACAAAGGCCACCTTTTTTCTTCTCTTTTTCATTGTACATGTAGTTACTACGTAGTACTCCCTAGTTATTAACTTCCTTTATACGTATTTATTTTTCCTTGNTGTACATGGTCATGCTTGCTAATGTAAATGTATTTTAATTCAAATTTTGTAAATAAAAACATGAAAAATTAAATTTTATTTTGTGATTTTTTCATTTTTTACTTTCACTTTAGAGAAAGTACAAACATCGCAGCTCCATTTTTTTTACTTTCAAAATAGAGTTTGTATTGTGGTAATGTGACATGTGGACATGTGGTTCAAGTACTTGTGGCCTTGTGGACATGTAGCGCGACCAGTGACGAAAAAATAGTTCTGTGTCACAAATGGCGAGGGGTATTTTGGGTATGGCGACGCAAATTAAGTCCTATTTGGGGGATTTAAGTTTTGGAGTCCTATTTAAGTATATTTGATATGTTTTAGTCCTATTTAAGGTTTTTTCCCTATACTCTAACTTGTAATCGAGTCAATAAAAATTCAAAAAAACTATGGCTTGTGGAAAAGGGGCCCGGGGAGGGACTAATAACAACTTATGAATGAAGTAACTAAACAATGAACTCAATACTATGCACCATTTACTTAAGGAAAAAATATCTCAAATAATCCCACATTTTAGCGTTGTCAATTTTTTTCAAAAATAATCTCGTCTTTCATTGCCACAGAAAATAATTCTACCTTTCCTAATGTGTACAAGTTTTGGGTTGAGGATGCTAACGGTTACTTAAATGGAATTTTAAAGAATACTTGCTTTTTCATAAATAAATAAAAGGTGAAATTATATTAGGTAAATTCCCTTTTTTCGTTTTTTAATTTCTCACTTTAAGTTTTAATGTATTTAGAGTGAAACTACTTATTTGTTTCAATAATCGATAATATGGTAATAATTATTTTTTTCAAAAATAATATTTCAAAAGTTATGAAATAGCACAATAAATTATTCTGCACAATGGAACTAATTTATTTACTTGTTAACTCGCTATATTTCTTTGTAAGTTTCAATTATTTTCTCGAGCGGCACTTTGAATTATTTTTTGATATTATATTATTATTATTTTTTAAAAACAATGGCACTACAAAACTTGTAAATACTTTTTGATAATTCTAGTTGTGAATAAAAAATGGCACTATTAAAAAATTTAATATTAAAAAGAACAAAGAAGTATATTTGTCTAAAGAATCCCATCTTTTGTTTATTTGCGAGAAACATGCATTTTTCAAAAATTCCATTAAGTGATCGTTAGCTTCTTAACGGCCCAAAACTCATGATGTCCAACGTAACAGATCGATCATCATAGAACAAAGATCGTGATGTCCAAAAGACGAACTTGGGATGAACGAGGGGGCTGCAAACATGTATATGTGGAAAAGATTTCAGTGAAGATGTGATAACCGAAGCGGATCAATACATGGTATGGTTTACAAATACAATATTAGATGTTTTGTCATAAAAATTCACAAATATCTCATCATATGGTTCTGTGCCAATATAACTTGAATCTAGTAATTTAGTTGAGAGTTATTACATGGACTACAAATTAGGCGGGTTTTTCAAACTCTGTTAAATACGGAGTATATGGTATCATTATTACGTTTTTTGTATTTACAACATTCTGCCATTAGATGCTCTAACATCTTGGATATGTAAATTTTTCAAAGCTTAAAAGTGATTTCATATCAAGTCAATTAAATATGATGAGTTTTGCATATTCAAGGTCTATGCAATTTCCCACCCCAAAACCTCTCGTTAAAAGATGCTCTTATGTGGCCTGGCGGAAAGTGGTGGAAAGATAAAAAAGGACGAGTCTCATTCATGAGGATTCCTTAGAATCGGCCAGATAGTCACGTTACTTGTAAAGATCCTGTGTTTAGCATAATCGTCTCTCAGAAATCACGACATAGTAGTTGCCAGAAATCAAATTCGAATTTACCCCTTTGACATCCTTGCTCAACCAACTGAGCTTGCTCTCAAGCATTTTAAACTTTGGAGAGGAAACTATTTATACTGGCTGGCCCACTGCATTACGTTCCCACTGTACCACTGTACCAAAAAAACTTTTAAAACGAC